TTGAGATCTACGTCGGGTCAGAGGCCGCAACGGCACGACTCGGTCCAGTGCTGCGGCTGCGGCCACATCCCAGGCCGCAGCCTGATCTTCCGCCGAGTCGTGACCTAGATCCTCCGGATATGGCCCAAGCTCCGTCAGAAACCTCTCCGGGTCCATCAGGCGCCTGGGACGGAACCATCTCGGCGGTTCCGTCTCCCTGCGGCGGGGGGAAGCGGTCCGGAAGTCCATCCTGAGGAGAGCATGATGTGACCATGACAAGGGCTCTATATTTATCTCCCCCATTTCCAGATCATTCTGTCACCTATCTTACCATGAGGTAACTCTGGGTGGCTTACAGTTACATATACAATTAAAACATAAAGAGTAAAGTCAGACATTAAAACCAAGGACACTTGGGAAGGGCAGGGGCAGAATGGGGGGACGTGAGATCTGTTATTACTCAATCAGCCACCTCCACTGTGCTGTTCCCCCACTGGGGCCCCAAGCTGACTGGCAGAGCCATGTCTTTAGGCCCCTATAAAAGGATAGGAGGGTTGGCGCCAACCTCACATTAGGGGGGGGCAAGATATTCCAGAGGGCAGGAGCGACAGAAGAGAAGGCCCTCCTCCTGGACCTCACAAGCCAGAATAATCAGGCTGATGGGACCCGCAACATGCCTCCCCTGCCGGCACGAATGCTACAGGCCAATTCCAGTGGAGTAAGACGGTCCCTCAATAAACTGAACCTATGCCATGAAGGACTTTAAAGGTGATCACCAACAACTTGAATTGTACCCAGAAGCAGACTGGTAACCAATGCAGCTCATAGAGCAATGGTGTTACAGGGGCTATTCCTGCCCCCCCCCAAAAAAAACTACTCACGCTACCACACCCTGCATCAGCTGTAGCTTCCAAATGCTCTTCAAGGGTAGCTCCATGTAGAGTGCATTACAACAGTCCAGCTGTAAGAGACTAGGGACTGAACAACTAAGTGCAGGGAATCCTGGTCCAGGAAAGGCTGCAACGGGTGCACAACTCAAAGTTGTGCAAAGGCTCTCCTAGCCGCGACTGCCACCTGTTTACTGAATTGTTGGACTATATTGATAAACCTTATAAAAATTAAATAGAATATGTGAAGTTGGGGAACAAGAGGAAAAGATGCTACCTAGGAAACAATAAGTCAAGACAGGCAGGAAACCCCAGTGGCACAATAGTCAGAGAAAGAATTTCAGGAAGTTCCCACCCCAATGAATCAAGCAGTTAAACGTGGCACTGGGAACTGGGAACTTTGTACTTTTACACTTGCAAGATTCTATTAAGGTAGCCTTATAGAATTATAAGTTTATAATTTGTTTTACTCTCAAAACTCTAGAAAGTATTATACTGCTGAGTTTAACAAAAAATATTTTCTGTCTCTTATCCTTCATTTTTCTTAGCATATCTCATACTGCCACACAAGAAACTATAGTAATTCTAGCCATACTGGTGACAATTTGGTCAGCCCTCCTATTCCCAGTGTGCCACATTCCATCAAGCTAACTGAATAACTAAAAATGAATAGTCACCCAAAGAAGTCTGACTGGCTGGAAGACCCATACAAGGCTGGTGAGAGATGGAGAGCTGGGTATTCTGCCACCTTTGTTCTCAAGGTGCCAAGGCCCATAGCAGCTGTCACAAAGAGCACGGGAAGGATAACTTGAGCAATAAAACCTTTCACATCGCGTCGAGTGTGATGGAAACGTTTAATGAACAATGCTGTGGCCTTCCTCAGCAGGAGAGAAAGATTGTTTGGCTTTCCCATGTTAATCAGGACTTCATCTATTCATAAAAAAAGGAAAGAAATACCATAACCCGTAAGTACTTAGTTCTGTTTCCTTATTATATTTAGTTTTACCCAATTCATCCCACCAGAACATGTAAACCAATTTGAAAAATATTATTTCTCTTTTTGAAATCCTAGACAATCCTAAATTCTGGCTGCTGCCTTATTAGCAGTGATTGATGTTAGGACTCACACTATGTTTCTTCTTTTTGAAATTCACTTCTGGAAGTATTTTGCTTTTGGTAAGCCAACCTATCCAACCCCCTCATCCAGGGTCATCAACATTCTCTCCTCAGGCCTACATTGTTCTTATAATGGAAAGAATGAAAAGCTACATGATCAGGAGATTAAACAGTCTGAGGGATCACGGTGTTTCAATATGACTGTTCCTAGGACTGTGAGGAGGTGAGGTGCTACTGCCAGATATACAGGTAATTGAATATCTTCCCTACAGCCAGGAAGCTCTAGCGTTAGAGGTCTGGTTTCCTGAATCAGCTATTGTTGTTTGCATCAGAAGGTATACTTGTGATGATGGGACAATCTTTGACAAAAACAAGATCTATGAAGTTAGTGATAACCCAAGTCATTCATTGTTCTTGTTTCATATGACAAATGGGGGGGGGGAGATGATTTTGGAGTTTGTGGATTGCTGCTGAGTAGCAGCCCTGTACTTAATTAAAACTCAGCCCATGTCTCAATAACTGAACAAATTTTAAGGAGCTATGGCAAGTTTTTTTTTTACAATTGTATGATATTTAAGTAGCAAGTGAATTATCCCTTAGCCCAGGCATAGGGTCCTATTAGATTACATCACCATTTTCCATCTTCTCAACAAAGTCTGAGATGGAATTTAGCTTTTCTTGGTAAACTAATTTCTGAAGGACCAAACAGATCTAGGATGAAATGGCACAGAAAAACCGCCCATTATATTTCTAACCATGATCAGTGTTTGATTTCAGGTTAAAAGATACTGGAATTCCCATAAGGCTGTCTTATCTCTAATTGTAGCCTGAAACTGCTCCATCACCAGCCATACTTAGTGATTTTGCCTTGTCCCCCCAATTTATCATCAATCCAGCTTATATTTTTGTGAAGTTAACCTGATCTTTCATAATCTTGCTAAAAATGCTGCCTTGCTGTAATTCATTGTACATTGTTCTAGACACTATAAGCTTTTCATTTGGTAAAAACTTCAGCCAGTGAAAAATTACACTATTTTAATACCATCTGGTTCAAAGAGGTTGTTAGATTTTATGGACAAGCCATCATTATCCACAGTAAAACTGGGCTCTTCTTGAGATAACTCTGCATCGGTTTGTTCATCTTTTGCAAAATCTTTGGTCAAATTAAGAAACACCTGCAAAACAGTAATATTAAAATATTTTAATTTCATTTCTCACAATTCCTAAAGCAAATATTTTGATCTTGCTGTTAAAAATTGCTACTTGGACTCAAGACTGAAAACACATGCAACTTCACCTAATGCTCTGTTTAATTTAGACTGATTGTTTCCAGTTTGTGTGCAGAATCTTATGCCAGTTCATAGTTCTGTAATTAACTTTTACCCATACTGTTTCTACTTTGTAAATGGCCATCCTCATAAGAAGCCATGACACAGATATAACATGCAGACATAATGGGAAGAGAATATTAATTTCCTCTATGGTCTTTCACACCGACTGACAAGAATGCACTACTAGACAAAGAACACACTACAATTAGAAAAGGTATCATTGTTATTTCCCATCTTAAGTTTATTTCTTCATTTCCTGATCCAGATCAGTTTGCAACTTTAAAAAAGGTTCATATGAACTTGAGTTTGCATTTGGTGCAAACCTAAATATGTATATTTTTTTCAAATGGTTTTGCATATAATCTTAATATATTACTGTGATGCAAACTAAGTGCAATTTTAAATACCTATTTTAGTATACAAATTATGACATCCCATGTACATTCAGGACACATTAAAATGAAGTCTCAACAAAATTTCCTATAGTTACATGTAATTAAATATTCAGTGAATAACAATAACTGAAGTTGAATCACCAATGCAATAACTAAAAGCACGCTTCTGTGGATGGCATCTTCCTATCAGTCAGCTCCTGAATCAGCTCATTCTGTCAGCTCTCCCTCTTGCTGAAAGAGGCAGAAATTAATGGAATGACTAAATTCTAGAGCAGTGGTTCTCAACCTGTGGGTCGGGACCCCATTTGGGGTTGATCGACCATTTCACGGGGGTCGCCAAGCAAGGCTGTCTGCCATTTTTTTTGTCCGCCATTTTTTTTGTCCGCCATTTTTTCCCCCTTTCCGGCGGGTGCCTTACCTCCCTTGGGCTGGGCCAGCTGGTGGTCGGCCTGCTCCGTCTCTGCCGCTTGCCAGCTACGCCTCGGCCGTCGCAGGGGGCGGAACCACGCATGTGCGGCGCTCCCGGGCAGGGAAAGTCCTCGACTTACAACCGGTTGGGTAGTCCTCGACTTACAACCAGTTTAGTCCTTGACTTACGACCGGTCTAGTCCTCGACGTACGACCAGTTTAGTCCTCGACTTACGACCGGTTGGGGTCGTGGCATTAAAAAGGTTGAGAACCACTGTTCTAGAGGCCCCTGGCCACATCTCTATGCATGGCAACTTTTTTATTTGTCATCTTCAAAGTCCAGTTGCTACTCTGTTTCGTATAACTTAATTTCAGGTTCTTCTCTTCACACTATGTCATGAATTATACTATCAAAAAAGGCTACTCAGTGTGCTTCTGTGCATTCCTATCATAATTTTACTTGATGCCAATGGACTGATAAATCAATTTAATATATACTCATATTTAATTTTCTTCATTGTGATCATAATCTTTTCATTCTGGGAAGATTTGTTTCATACATGTCCTTTCTTTTAAACATCCATTTGCCACTTTTAGGTTACTTACAAATATTTTTTTTAAAAAATTTTTTTTATTGATTTTTCATTGAAAAACAGAAACATAAATCTTTTATCACAATATCAACCATAAAAAGAATCAACACCAATCAATACATTCACGGACGTGTCCGGTGTCCCCCTTCCGCACCACCCTCTCACTTGCCTACACCTTCCTCCTCGCTATCCTACCACCACTCCTCCTTCCTCCCTCTTTCCTACCTCCCTTTCTCCCTCAACCATCCCGTCAGTGCAGTTGGGGTACCACCGGGCACCTCCTTAAAAAATCATACATATATATACATATAAATCTATAACAC